CGGCGAGTCAGATCATTTACAGTTTGAATTTCTTCCCTGGAGCATTTAAATCTGTTACAAGGTTTCGTTTTAAAATGATCATATTGTTCGACGAAGGAACCATTCATGGACAAAGATCTGTTTGACTCTCAAGGTGAAGCCTCAGAAGAACCATGAAAAACGCATCATTTGAGTGGAAAAGTCCTTTTTATGAACACGAGAAAAACGCAAATTGAAAAGATTCTGGGACGCGAAAACACGTGTGTCCATACGACTCCGTCCTTTGCATTAAACGTAGAAGATGTGTTCGGATATCTGTCAGACCTGAAGGGAAATTTTCGAGGCAGACTTTGATCTCAAATAATGCAGTCAGCCTGTTGTTAATTCTTGTCATATTTTTTTACCACACCATTTCGTCTGACCTTATGCTGATTTCATGTTGGGTATAAACTTAAGCGTTGCAATTATTAAACAGAGCGAGGCCAGGAGGAGAATTCCAATCAGATATAGCTCCTCGTTTTACAAAAGCCCATTTCATCTATGTCATTGTTCCCTGATTTCAAGGGGAATCGGGCCAAACCCGAAAATTTCCATTCTCACTCATAGAAACATACATTCACAATCTACTTTTGCGAAAGCAATTTAATGAGCCTTGGAAGGAAGTTCACATCATATAATTCTTTTGGCAGAGAGAGTATTCTTGAATTAGTAGCACGCTGAAATCCAATCATGCTGTAATCAATATTTGTAACTTATACAAATGAATAATTTTATTACCCTGTTGTTAAGTATAACCTCTAATATTTATCGCAGGGACAAAATCGAATCACACACCAAATCAATAATCATGGGACGAAGAAGCGTGGAATTTCTCACTTTTATTGCCCTTTTGATGTTCTGTACTTTGATGGTGTTGCCCTCAACCAAAGGTAGAATTTTATTTTAAAGACAACCTCTTGCTAGATGTAAGTGTCTTTCATTTCACAGATGAGAAAATAATTCTCGAAAAATGTGAAATGGTACAGCTTTCAGCCATTTTTCCTATTACTACTGAGTAGTTTTTCGTCTTTATTGTTGTTTTTTTCTTTATCTGAACCGGCTAAGTTCAGTTAATAGTCCATTTAATAGTGTTTCCTTTACGAATCTCAGAGCAGTGCTCTTTCAAACATTGAAATATTGGGTCATCCTCGGTGTAAAAACCTGACGAGGTTTTCTTTGTTTCATAGGTATTGTTTTGCTGTACGCTATTGTTTATAATGTTTTGTTGTCTTTTTTTTACGTTACTCGTGAGCTTCACAGGTTTTTACACCGAGGATGAGCGGAAATTTTACACTTTCTGTCAAATGATTTTCATGTTGGCAGGTGATCTTAAACTCACCGTTCTCGTACAGAAGCGAACATCGTGCACGCGACAAGCAATGCACGTGGCAACAAACTAATTCTGGCACGGTCAATGCATAATGCGCCTTCACCCTTTTTACCCTCCCTTCGAAAAAAAATCATCAGGCTGCGTGCAAATTATGCGGCAGATTAAGCGCAATTTGTCAGAAATGACATTGGTGAAATTCAGTGCATGTAGCATTCGCGCTTTTCTGACCCGTGCAATGACTCGGCACGGTTACTTTCATATCATGCTGTAAGAACTGTTTAACATACAATCCTACGACTGAAACCTTTAGGCATGACATAACTTACACAGGCTATGTGCTATCTTTCAAAATTGTTTTCCAACGCAACTCGCGTTCCGTTCAGATCCAGGAATATATGCACGCATACGCGTTGAACGATATTTGGGGAGGTACAAGTCGATGACATGAAAACACTCCTCTTTCCTTGAGTTAAAAATGTCGTTACGAGAAAAGAAAAAACGTCATCAGCCTCAATTTATGTCATGTCCGTGAAATCTCTTAATAATAATAATAATAATAATAATAATAACAATAATAATAACAATAATAGTAATAATAAAAATAATGACAATCGGACAAGAAAGGATGAAGAGAAGACACTGAAGTACGGACCCCTTCGCTGGGAACTAAGGCAGCAGTTCCCAGGCTACGAGGTGAAGCAATATAACATCATTATGGATGCCCTCGGGGGGTGGTCACGGGAGCTGGATGTCATGATGCGCGAGCTGGTGGGAGGCAGAAGCACAGACGTACTGCGAAAGATGCAGAGGGCAGTGCTCTCGGGCACGCTGAATATTGCCCGGACTTTCAAGGTGGCNCTCTAGACACGACGCAGCACTGAAGGTACTGTTTTACCAACTGTTGTATGATGAGGGATTTATAGACGAGATACCACCCTGGTACTCACCCGACAAGCCGAAGCCCGTGTATGAGTCAGAGAATGTTAAAGCTTATTGGGATGTCCCTATATATGCTGATCAACAAGAGGTCAGATGCAATAGGGTGGATGCACGCATTGTAAATCATATGTGCAAGAGAGTTGTGACGCTGGAAATGAGCTGCCCGTGGGTTAACAATCGGACAAGAAAGGATGAAGAGAAGACACTGAAGTACGGACCCCTTCGCTGGGAACTAAGGCAGCAGTTCCCAGGCTACGAGGTGAAGCAATATAACATCATTATGGATGCCCTCGGGGGGTGGTCACGGGAGCTGGATGTCATGATGCGCGAGCTGGTGGGAGGCAGAAGCACAGATGTACTGTGAAAGATGCAGAGGGCAGTGCTATCGGGCACGCTGAATATTGCTCGGACTTTCAAGGTGGCAGTTTGAGTTCCTGTTAGAAGGAGGACCGTAGACACAACGGAAAAGCTTTTTAGGATTAGTTAATGTACATTTATTTTTTACTCCAGGGCTCATAGGTTACGGTTTTCGCCCTGTGCTGCCTGATTAGAATGTAGCATTCAGTTGATTTCTCTGCGATGATAATAATAATAATGATAATAATAATAATAATGATAATAATAATAATAATTTAATATTTATATTGCGCAAATTTGAACATGTGGACATGATCAAATGCGCATCACAACACTTTTCGGGAGACTTTGGCCGGACTGCATCAGCAGTTTACAAACAATCAAAGGAAACTCATTTGAAGATGTCCCCTCCCCCCCAATTCCCAGTAAACAGGCCAGACCACATCACAGTAATCTCGTGAGTGGGTTCTTTAACGTTCCCTGCCTAACCAAATGAACTAATTAATAGATGCAGGAGACGGTAAAACGAGGAATTAAAAATAAGGGCCTGGAGTCTGGTCGGGGTTTGTTTGAGCTATTCACAGAGGCATTTATCATAGCAGCATTTATCATAGCGGCATTTATCATAGCGCGGCTATCAGGCGGTTAAGCTGCATTCTTGTGAACGGTTTTTTACACGTCTATCAATGATGTCCGCCATCACTTCGGAAAACTCAGAACTTCGACAAATTCCGGATTGAATGTTGAGTGTTGACTAAATTAAAATGTACTTGATCAAGCAATTTGCGTGCGGTGTCAAAGATTGAAAAACCCGCATCTTGAACGTGATTTCCCCAGGAAATTGACACTTCTCTTAGTGCAAAAATTCAATTAAGGTTGGAACATTTTTGGCCAGAACTCAACTGGCTCAGTGAATCCATTGATCGGATAGTTGATTCTGAAAGTTGCATTTATGACAAAATTAAGTTGACTTTCAATTCTCCGCATTGCGGACATTTTAATTTAAATTGCCTTTATGTCATTTGTTTCCTTTGCATGCAGGAATTTTAAATGCATCATATTCATCATGGACAAAAATACTGAGTTATTTTAACTTTTGGCATCCTCTACAGCGCAGTTTGTTCATAACTCAATTTCACGAGCAATTCCCAGGCAGCTCCAGTTCTTTCCCTCTTTCGCAAATCATGGACGATCGAAAACACCTATCATTTATTTTTTATCACATCAGGATTTGATTTAAACAGAGAGGGATCCCACTTATGTAGATGCAAGCAAGCTTGGCCTTCCAGCCTCGCCAGCTGCCTTTAATAAACGTTATGTAACTCCACGAACATTCACGACATCGTGAAGTGATACTGATCAACAGATCACTCTCAAACTTGGTCATTTTACTGCATTTAAGGCGGTCTTTCCAACAGTGACGCCGATTTTTCCTGACTGATTCATGTCAAGAGTGCAAGGGTCTGTTTTCAATAATCCTTCTGCCCACGCACAGCAATTAATAATGTCGTGAGAGTTTAAGATAACTCCCTCAGATCCCACCTACGCATGTATATTGATCGCCAGAAACAGTGATGAAACGTAGACAAAATATTTACAGGAACGTCAATTATAAATTAAAATCTCAGTGTGATACTGCAAATCCCAGCTGCAGTGCCAGATCGTCGACCCCCACCCTTAAAAAAAAGAATAGTTTCGGAAGAAATGTTTGACTCAACTACACAAGACGTGTAGAGGTTGAACTCGGGATCAGAAGCTGTCATATGATAGAAGCACAGTTACTCCTCGACAGTTAAGTTTAAAATCCTTCCCATTGGATCCTTCGCTATGCTTTAATTGTTTGAACTCAATATAAACACGACAACATATCACTGCCTGTTATTGATGGCGTCGTCAATAATTAGTTCCTGATTTACAAAGTGGCCACGCGTTCGCCGACTGTTCATTGTGATAAGTTCTACACGCCTTGAATGTCCTTTTACAACGATTTTGCCCATGCAAGCGTTTGAATGCTGCGCCACATTAACGATTAACGGAGATTTTGTTAGTTTTATAAACTAGCTTTTGTTTAAGTTTCCGTTAGGAACATGTGCTTCCAACGAATTCGACTTTGATGAACTTTGCTGATTGCTTACCTTACCGCAATGTAAATGTTATCGATCAATATTTTTTATTGGATCAGATTGACAACTAGGAAATGGAACTAGGGAAAAAATGGTTTCCAAGAACAACTCACTGTTGTGAAATCTGTTCATTAGGTTTCAGGGGTCTACAACTGGGCCGGTCTATTTCAGATAGATTGGGCGTTCTACATTTTTTATAGAAGTGTGATTCGACCGGTTTTAAAAATAAATCATTCAGACTTCTACGTCTCTAATTATAGACCTATCAAAACAACAACAAATAATGTGCTCTCTAATCTTGTAAGGCTATGTTTGTAAACAAAATGCGAAAGATATAAGGACCCGTGAGCGGCTCCCCCATTTCCCAGCTGCTGCTGTATTTTGCTCAGCTGGAGTCGGAAGTAGTGATCAGTTCCGAATTCTGTGTAACTTCCTGTCTAAATGTCAGATCAAGCGACAGGTTTGATGGCTAAATAAATTCCTTATCCCTGCATGCAAGCGGCATATAAACACGCGTAAAAAACCTGTTCCGCAGTCGGTGTGTGTGTTCGTCCCTCAAGAGACTAGCAATGGCGCAGATATCCTCTCCTCTGGCAGGCGTTGTTCAGCTTATCAGCATTCTAATCGTGTTTGCCCATGCAACAAATGGTACGTAAAAGAGGTTACTGTCTCTCTACTTTTTGGTGGTTTCTCTGGGTGTGTGTGTGTGTGTGAGTGTGTGTGTTCGCCTTTTGCTTTTGCATAGTAGTCGATGTGCCCAACAGATTTGAGATTAGTTATGCAGGGAATAGCCGTTCGGCGAATGACTGTAATTGTTTTTAAATTTAGTACCTTGTTTTTTTGCCAAGCGAGAAGTTACCATTTCGTTCATCAAAAAAATGACCAACTACTTATGAAGGTTCTGCTCCTTCAAAACTAAAAAATTTCACCTTCATTTGCTATTTTTCATGAGGAATGAAGAACAGGATTCCTAATCAAGGGATCCAAGTACGACGTTGCCAAGCCTCGTCGTCGAGGAACTGCGTACACGGTCTTCTTCCGAATCAGTGATACAGAAAACTTTCGTCTACACGGCAAAACCAGAGGTGTTCCCGTCTGTTTAATGTCGCCTCTAATAATTCAGTAAAATCACGAGATCTTAGACTTTAAAATATTTCCCATGAACCGTTCTCGTACCACCATCGTGACAGACGAAAACCTGGCCAAGTGTTTACTAAATTACATTCGAGGACTTGCACTGCACTCAGAGGAATTCGTTGCAGAGATCAGTATAATGAAAACAGGTTGTTTTGGTTCTGTAACTGGCCTGATCAGTGTCAGTGACTTTATGTTAGAAGCTAGAGGCTCACCGAAGGTGCAATCTCAAATGCATCAACTGCTCTCATTCGTACCTGAAACACAAAAATAGATTGATATTGCGCGGATTGCCGTGGTAAACGTTTGATTCGTTTATCTTAGGCCCACTCTTTAATTAATCAAGTTTTCTATGTTTAGTTGAATTTCAATTCCTCTTGAAGCATCTTCAAGCAGCTGAAAAGAATCAAACACTCTCATAAATATGGAGCACATATGCCGGGAAGAACCGTGTGCGACCTCAAGGAACCAACACCTGTACGAGAGGGCATAACTTTTTATCTCAATACATGTGTAAAACATCTTATGTTTTAAAGGTTAAACAAGAAAAACCTAATGAGTGTATGTTTACAGAGCTTTCTCCGTGGGAGTTTATTTTAAGTGCTTGAACTTTTTCTATTACACGAGATCACATTCTCTGCTGGAATGCAGTTTGAGTGTCCGCAGCAAGGACTTAAACTTTGTTTACGAAGTTGCGAAAGATGAATACAGAAGTTGCAAGAAGCGCATAGTCAGGCATTGCAGTGGGTTGTGTTCTCGCTTTCATTTTTGGAAGTAAAAGTTTAATTCGACAATGTGATGCAAAGAGGAGACGTTTTGAAACGAAAACGTAATGAAAACTCCTCAAAACTCTGCGTTACTTTACATCTTCCTCTTTTTTGGCTGCGATCCAACAAAAACAACTATCACCTACGTTTACTTTTTGTGGTAATTCCCATACTTTTAACCGAATCAGCAAAGAAAAGTAGTTGTTAACTGCAGCAAAAGGATAGTTGATCGAAAAGCTTTGAGTGCGTAGATAAGACTTTGACGAGCCTATTCAATCGATTTCATTTGATATACAAACACTTTCGAAGCTGATAAACGTACTTTCCAGTGTCTGGTCAAGGGAATATCCATTTTCTTATACACTTCTCTTTTGAAATGTTGCATCATATCAAAAAGAAAATACTTGTTTTTCAATCAAAACTCATTCAAATAATTCTGGCAACAACTCTTGAGCTTACTGGAATGCGGCTTTTCTTCAAGATGGTTAAGTAAGTTGTCGACGAACTAATCTTAGGACCAGACAAACAGGACAAGAAAAACATTGCGTTGTTTCCGATTGAAAAATGAAATGCATGTTTAGTCTAAGATGCAAAAATGTCTCATGCTGGTGGGTGGCGAAGACCCACAAGGGACACTAAAATAACTCAACAATAATAAAAATATAACCACTGATAGTCGCGGAAACCCGTCTCTTATCTCAGGGCGGTGTTAAATATCTTTTATTTTCCGTCTTCCATCGTTCATATCTTGCGTAATGATGTTTAGTTCGCAACGTGTCAAGTTTTCAGCGGGAAAACTACTTAGCAAGTTGTATGTCTTAATTCTTGGTTGATCATGTTTTGAACTCATAAAGATTCGGAAATCTGCGCGATTCAAGAAACAGAAGGTTCGCGTATGTTGTTTTGAACTGCAAGAAAACGGAAGCCGCTCAATCAATGACACTTCTCGCTGTAGAACGCAAATTCTCGGCCGCCCCTCGATGATTTGTTATCTGAGTAAATCAAACCTTGCGTCTGTTGGATTATCCCGCGAGAAATCTATGTAAAAATATATCAAATGGAAACACAAATGTCCTGCGTTGTTGTTTAGCACTTAGTTAGCTGCGCTCTCTTCTGGCGGTATCCGGTCATTTTTCCTTCATTGGCAATCAGCAATTTGCCAACAACACCATCGCACTAACCTCCTCGATTTTTTTTTTGACCGAGGTGGGGATGGGGTCGAGGGACAAGGATAAAGAGAAAAGGGCAATGTAAAGAACAACAATTAATTTTACGTGGCAGAGTTTCTGTTATTATCTACTGTTCGGTTTTTTTTTTTTTCGAAAAAAGTGTTACTGTTAAGAAAAACACACGTCGATGATGAAGGAACTTTTTATCGACTTTCTGGTTGCCGCCGTTGATTGCAACTCATTAATTCCCCCAGTTGAGTTCAACTGTTTAATCCATTTTCACATCTTCGTGTGCGGAGAAAATCATTGCACTTCACAGAATGACTTATCTGGGATTTGCATCGAATTCCTAAGCAGGTAAATGAGCACAATGTCAAGCCCATTTATGCTTGGCGCGGCGGGTAACCTGATTTTAACAGACGTGAATGTGATCATTAATTCTCTCGTTCGGTGTAGAGAGTGGGGTGCTATTGTAACTTAATTCCGTTCCATTCGGTTCTAATTTTGCATTGCAATTTACTCAACTAAAAGACACTGAAAAGGAACTTTATATGCAAAAATAGTAATCCGCAGGTCTTGTTTGCGGTGCTTTTTCTCTGGTATTCAACTTCAGAAATGCTATCAATCAGCCTCTTTTACAAGATAACATACGATCTTGGGAGATGCAAAGTCTTAGATCATTTTTATGCACTTATCGTATTATTTGAACTTTATATAAAAGAAAAAATATTCAGTGAACAGCAAACTTTTCTAGGATCTAAGAATCCAACCTTGGTTACCAAGGTAAAAGGGGAATGCCTTACCCTTGCGCTATCTTTGCTTCTCCCATTTCCAACGGTTTGATTTAAAAAGTTTACCATGATAACAGAAAGTCTTACTTGAAGTGAAACCAAGAATGGTGTGTCCTCGACGTTTTCTGGTCCTTCGTTGTTAGTCATTTACGATATGTTTCTCTTTTAGGTGCTATGTTTTGTTTTTCGAAACGCATCGAAAGTGAGAACCGCTGCACGGTTCATCTTGCTCATAACCTGAGTAGCCCTGTGAACTGCTGCGTAGCTTATCCAAATGCGTATTACGTTATCACCAACACTTCACATCTGACACCTG